GCGCGTGCCTGTAATCCCAGCTACTCAGGAGGCTGAGGCAGGAGAATTGCCTGAACCCAGGAGGCGGAGGTTGCGGTGAGCCGAGATCGTGCCATTGCACTCCAGCCTGGGTAACATGAGTGAAACTCCGTCTCAAAAAAAAAAATAAATAAAAATAAAAAATAAAATAAAATGACATTTAATCATTAAATATCATTTTAAATGATTCCTCAGTGTTTATGTTTATTCCTTATGATGGAATGTTAAATGCAAAACGAGAAAAAACAGACTGCTTAAAACAAGCCTTTGGATTCCATGCATATATGTATTAAATACTCGTGTACAGTGGGGGGAAATAATCGGCAGGAAGGAAGCCAGGACCCCAGCGGCCCTTGTTTATTGGCCGATAGGGAATCGACGGTTCTTTTGTCTTTTGTCTGGTTTTTTGTATTTTCCAAGCTTGATTTAATTGATTTAACCATGCTAAAGGCTCTTAATACACGAAGTTTCCAGGCTGCAGGATTCTCGGAGATAAAAAAACAGCAGTGAGTTGGAATGTTTGAAAGCCTTCTCACAGCAGAGCTAAACCTCCCACTTGCAGTTTGGATTTTCCCTGTGAAAGGAAGTCACCTCCCTTCTCCTCGAAGTCCCCTAGGTCTCAGTTTCTGCATCTGGCCAATGGGGATGACTGGGAGGAGGTGGAAACTCACCGCTGGGACGAAGCGGAAGGCAGCCAGCGGCGCGCGCTCGGCAAGGAGTGGCTCACGGCGGGCGCGGGCTGGAGCCCTCCTAAGAATTCTAGTGGCACCGCCCCATCGGGCGGCCGGTTAGCTCAGTTGGTTAGAGCGTGGTGCTAATAACGCCAAGGTCGCGGGTTCGATCCCCGTACGGGCCAGCCTGGAATCTTTCCTTTTCTCCCGTGAACTCCTTTCGCAACTATTTTTACAAATGCTCCTTTCTGGTACCGTAACCGGCGTGTAGGCAGGAGCGAATTGCGGAATCTTTTGGACTCGGCCCAGAGGTTGTCGAAGGCAGCCTGCTGGGGAGAGCGGGAGGAACCCAACGCGCGCTGAGGCCGTGGCTCTTCACGCAGAGACCCCGCGCCCGATGCCACCTGAAGGGTCTGTTTTAGAATGCCATTGGCTAGGCCTTTAACATTTGTCGTTTTTTGGGGGGCACTCAGGACATCCAAACCGATGCACATCACCAGCTCCCACCCCCCACGTTTCCTGAGGCTGCGTCTTGCCTGGAGGAACCGCCCAGTGAAGACAGGTGCTCCCAGATGTCACGGCCTGGTGTTCTCTGGGCCCCCTGGCGGGGAAGCCTTAGAGTTGAAAATCCAGGTCTGGAATGAATGCATTCCACAGATGAGTATGGAGAGCCACTACTGCTTGCCCAGCACCGTTCTAGGCTGGGCACAAAACGCTGAGACACAAAGCTTAACCCGCCTGGAGACAGTGACAGCCAGCAGATGACTGCCATGTTTTTAGTGAGGCGTTCCGGTTGTGAAAGCCTCTGGAAACCTTCTCTTTCCCGCCCCACCGCCCCCTTTTCTTTTCAGAAACATCTTAGGCTTCTCATTTCTTCTTGGTTCTGCATTTTGCAGCCGGAGCAAGTGGATGCATTTCCCTCTCCTGGTTCAAATTTCTAGGGTGGTCAGGTGTGCTCAGTTGAACAAAAGCCGGTTGTATAGGGTCGATGCCATTGATGTCACGATCCAGCAGGGGCTCCACCTGTTCTTGAAGATTCTACAGTGGAAACAGCTACTAGGTCTGACCTAAATAAGAAGGAGCTCAAAAATATACAGACCTCGGTAAGTGCCCAGGGTGTAGTAAAAGTTAATAAATGCCAGGCGATGGCGCTGCTGTTATTATAAGCAAAGTTAGGAGAGCCTGGGCGACTGACACCTAAAATAGACACCTGTACACACGATGGATGTCACATCTTTTCATAGTACTGGCAGGCACGTTGTTAGATGCAGGGACACAGCATGGAGGAATCGGTGGAGGTTGCAGCCCTCACGTTTCCTGAGCTTGAAGGGGTTTAGAATATGCCACGGTGGCATTAAAATTATTTTGAGTAGAAGGCATTTTAATTCCTGAAATCTAGCCAGGTGTGGAGGCTCACACCTGTAATCCCAGCACTTTGGGAGGCTGAGGTGGGCAGATCACCTGAGGTCAGGAGTTCAAGACCAGCCTGACCAACATAGTGAAACCCTGTCTCTACTAAAAATACAAAAATTAGCTGGGCGTGGTGGCGGATGCCTGCAATCCTACCTACCTGGGAGTCTGAGGCAGGAGAATCGCATGAACCCAGGCGGTGGAGGTTGCAGGGAGCCAAGATCATCCACTGCACTCCAGGCTGCAGACTCAGTCTTAAAAAAAAAAAAAAAAAAAAATGCTGAAATGTCTTATCTGCTAAAAAGCAGAGCTTTCCTCAGAGCTTCCACTGTGCTGGGCACAGTGGTTCACACCTAGAATCCTAGCACTTTGGGAGTCTGAGGTGGGTGGATCACCAGAGGTCAGGAGGTTGAGACCAGCCTGGCCAACATGGTGAAATCCTGTCTCTACTAAAAATACAAAAATTATCTGGGCATGGTGGTGCATGCCTGTAGTCCTAGCTACTCCGGTGGCTGAGGTGGGAGGATTACCTGAGCCTGGGAGGTTGAGGTTGTAGCGAGCCAAGATCATGCCACTGCACTCCAGGCTGGGTGACAGAGCAAGATCTTGTCTCTAAAAAAAAAAAAAAAAATGTGTAGCCTGGGAGTCTCCCTATTAAAAAAAAAAGAAAAAAAATGTGGTAAGAAACCCATAATATAAAATTCACCATTAAAAAATAATACAGCAGGTAGCATCATGAATGCAATGTATTGATAAGGATGACTGTGATCTTCCAGAACCTTCTCTGACGCCAACCTGGCTCCCAGCCTTACTTTACTGGCTTCGGTGCTCATCATACTGTGCTGCAAACGCCAGCTTCCCCCTTCTCACCACCTAGACTGTTAAATCCCACTGGGCAGGAACAGCCACTCACCCTCCAGGTGCTTAATAAGGGTTTGTTGACCCGTGGACCTCCTGCTCTCCCTGGGGAGAGGACCTGCAGCTACAAGACTCATTGGGAAGGGCATACAGAGCCTCAACCATAAGAAGAAGAGGCGATCAGGCTGAGGAAGATGGGCCGTGGAGCTGGATGGATAGTGACATGTAGAGAGGGTGGGTTCATTCATTCCTTCACTCATTCGTCTATTCTTATTTATTTATTTTGAGACAGAGTCTCTCTCTGTCACCCAGGCTGGAGTGCAGTGGTGTAATCTCGGCTCACTGCAGCCTTCGCCTCCCGGGTTCAAGCGATTCTCCTGCCTCAGCCTCCCTAGTAGCTGGGATTACAGGCGTGCACCACCACGCCCGGCTAATTTTTGTATCTTTAGTAGAGATGGGTTTCACCACGTTGGCCAGGCTCCTCTCGAACTCCCAACCTCACGTGATCCCCCCTCCTCGGCCTCCCAAAGGGCTGGGATTACAGGCGTGAGCCACCGCGCCCGGCCCAATCGTTTATTCATATTCATCCACCCATCATTCATGCCCTGAGCCTGCGTTCTGTTCTGGGCAGCGCCTGTGTTGGGCACCGAATGAGTAATATATCATCTTTCCCTTCAAGGTGCACCGAGTCTGGGCAGGTGAGTAGAGAGAGGCTAGGGTGACATGGGAACAATTTGGGGGTTGGGAAACACTCTTGTTAACAATTCAAACTGTGGTCCCGTCTTAGATCTATAAATCCAAACGTTTGGGGGTGGGCACAGGACTCTGCATCTCCAGACAGGATCCTCCGCTGATGATTCGGATGCACGATGATGTCAGAACGCTTAGTGTGGTAACTTTTGGACCGGGGGCTCTGGAACCCCGAAGGTCCTGGAGAAGGTGGGTGTTAAATACATCCATGACAGGCAACAAGAAAATAAGAGGGAACGGGTGTCCGCTCTGCTGATCAGCCTAGGAGCCGCGGCGCCTGTCGGCGGGGGCGGGGCACTACACGACCTTCCCGCCAGGCACGGTCGCCTTCCGAGGTGTCTTGGCCTGCGAGGCATCCGTAGCCCGCCCCTTTCCCCGGTGACGCACATTGGAGGCGCCGTCGCTCAGAGCCCCGGGTTCGAGTCCCCGCCTCGGCCGCCATGGCGGATGCGGAGCCGGAGGCTGGGGGCGGCAGCGAGGATGGCGGCGGCGGCGGCGGCGGCCCGGCTCCTCCGGGCCAGAGCGGCAGCGTCGCACGTGTGGCCCCGCTGGACCCCGAGCAGCTGCGGCGGGTCCTGGAGCGGGTGACCAAGACGCAGCCGCCGCCGCTGCCGCCGCCGCCGCCGCTGCCACCCCCATTCGTGCTGCAGGAAGCGGCGCGGCGGCTGCGGGACGCGGCCCAGCAGGCTGCCCTGCAGCTGGGCCCGGGCGCCGAGCCCCTGCGCCCGCCGCGCCTGCTGCCGCCCCAGGTGAGGCGCCGGGAAGGGACGTAGGGAAACAGGCCTAAAGGGGGCCGAGGCCCCGCGGCTGGGCTAGCTGCTTCGCCCGGGTTAAGACTCAGGGCGTCCCCAGGCTGAGCTTCTCAGGGACGGCGTTCGGCCCCCACCTGTCACCACCCTGGCATTTTCACCCCAGGAGCCTCACTCGAGGAGCCGTTGCTCACGCTGAGCCCTGTGCCTGGGACGCCCTCGTGCCTTCTTCTCTGCCTCCACAGCCCTGCTGGGGACCCCTGCGTGCTGCACAGCTCTTCTTACAGGCCTTTGAGCGCTCGTTCAGCCTTTGTGGAGCACTTAGAGACGGTGTCCCCGCCACTCCCCACTATGTGCGAGAGGTGACGCCTTGAACACACTTGAAGAATGAACAGAAGGCAGGTTCTGGGAGTGACGGGGCTGCTTTAGAGTGAGTGGTCCCGTAGGCCAGACACTGGAGCTGAAACCTGAATGAATTAAAAGGCACCAACTTAGCTTTTCAGGTGTAAGGTGCCGAGGCCCAGGCTTGGAAGAAAGTTAAACATAATATACGAGTTCGCTGTGGGACTTACCATCCTGAGTGACAGTCACTGATTTGTAACCTCAGTACCCAGCACAGCACCTCATGCACACTTAATGTTTGAAATATGTGAAAGCACTCTTATACTACAAAACAGCCTTTCTCAGTGGGTTTATTTCCTGGGAATATGGTCGCCCAAGTCCGGAGGGTGTAGCATAGCGCCTGAAGCCAGAGGTCCTACACGTCATCTGTAAAATTCCATCCTATTTCAGCGCTGGGGTTGTAAACAAAATTAGTCTCATCCTAAAATTGCCGAAAGAGAGCTTTCATTAGCTGGGTGTGGTGGCGGGCGCCTGTAATCCCAGCTACTTAGGAGGCTGAGGCAGGAGAATCGTTTGAACCCGGGAGGCAGAGGTTCCAGTGAGCCGAGATCGCACCATTGTACTCCAGCCTGGGCGACAGGGCGAGACTCCGTCTCAAAAAAAAAAAAAAGAGCTTATTCCACTGGAAGAAATGGGTCAGTGAATAGAATCAGGGATCTTCACTCGTGAGTTTTTTTTTGACTGATGTTAGTTGCCTAGGGTTGTATCCAGTTAATCATCAAGACTGGAGAGTTGTCTTGCTAAGATTTAGGAAGACAAGTATGATTCTGCCCAAATGCCACACTATCACCATCCAGAGGTGTGACCTTGGGTAACTCAACCTTTTTGGTCTTTGGCCTGGGTCAGATGGCTCCAAGACGCCATCCAGGGGCGGCCATCTGCAGAGTCTCTGCTCTGCGCCAGGCAGTGTGCCGGGCTGCTTAGTTTTCCGCAGTGTTTTGTACCAGCATTTTGCTGGGGGGAAATAAGCTCAGGGAGGTTGAGTGGCCTTGCCCGGGGTCCCTCAGGTGTGGCTGCTCTCCCGAGCCCCCTGTACTCCTCAGCATACTCTGCTGAATATGGCCACAGCTTTTTGGGTTTGGAATGAAGTCCAAAAATGACGTATTTTTCATGAAGGCAAACTTTATCAGGGTTAGGTAGCATGATGATTGTATTCTGTAGCTAATCTAATGGAGATGATGTAAAGTCTACCTGCAACAATGTAACTTTACAGCACCTTCTGCTGATACTCTTTCAGCCCCAGATGCATCATGGAGGCCACAAAGGAAAGCCAGATGTGTACTTTGCCCTTCAGTAGTTTATGAACTAACGAGATAAATCATGACCCAGATTCCTTCTAATCAAGGCCAGAAAGCTAAAGATAGTGATAAAGAACTAAATATATTTAGAGAAAGGGAGATTGTTGTCAGGTTATCTAAAGTCAAGAAGAAAGAAGAAAAAGAAAGAAAAGGAGATTGTTTCTGGCTGAGGAGATCAGAAGCAGCTTTGCTGAAGAGGTGGTATCTGAACTAGATTTGAAAGGGTGCGTCTGCGTTGAAAATTCAGAAGAGGAGAGGCAGGTTTTGGGGCCAGTGGCAGGGTGCGTTTCAACAACCTCAGCAGAAGTCCGGGTGGTTCGCTCTGGGGGATGGTGTAAAGCCCAGACCAGGTGGACACACTTGGGTCAGATCAAGGCTCCTGTTTCTCCACATCCTCCCTCTTCCCACCCCACAGAAATTTCCAGTTCCACTCAACCTGTCATGCCCCTTTTCACGCATCCATGCATTCGCACATGGATGTGTGCCCTTTTTCACCTGGCAAAAATTCCCAGCCTTCGAAATGCCCTTCACAGATCACTGCCTCTGGGCAGCCCACCACATCTGGGCTGTTCCTGCCTCTTGCACCTGTGGTACCATGATAACATTGTTTTCCTGCCTGCCTCACCTGTCTGCATTCCTTAGGGAACCTTATCTGCCTTCAGAATTGTCAGTGGAGCTTTTGAAAGGGCAGATCTTGGGGCTCCACCTCACGAGACCTGATTCAGCAGGTCTGTGGGGATCATGAGGCATGGCAGGGGAAACCACCCACCATCTCAAGGGTGAGGCTAGGACTTGGCTAGTGTGTATGTATTCCACCCAGAAATACTTAGTAAAGGTAGCTGAATGAAATAAACATGTAACAAAGTGTCAAGCATAATACCCACAGGGTAAGCCAGTTAGGATAGGGGATAAATACATTATTAGTCAGGCTTTGCTGCTGTGGTTATCCTAAAACAATAGGGTTTAGGTGTTGTGTATGTGTGTGTGCGTGTATTCTGTTTTTGTTTTATGGTTTTGTGGAGACAGGGTCTTGCTTTCTTACCTAGGCTGGACTGATCTTGGCTCCTGCAATCTCAAACTCCCAGGCTCAAATTATCCTCCCACCTCAGCCTCCCGAGTAGCTGGTACTACAGGCATGTACCATCATGCCTGGCTAATTTAAAAATTTTTTGAAGCCAGGGGTGGTGGCTCATGCTTGTAATCCTAGCACATGCCCGTAAGCCTAGCCTAGGGAGGCTGAGGCGGACAGATCACGAGGGCAGGAGATCAAGACCATCCTGGCTAACGTGGTGAACCCCATCTCTACTAAAAAATACAAAAAATTAGTCAGGCGTGGTGGCGGGTGCCTGTAATCCCAGTTACTCAAGAGACTGAGGCAGGAGAATCGCTTGAACCTGGGAGGCGGAAGTTGCAATGAGCTGGTATTGTGCCACTGCACTCCAGCCTGGGCAACAGAGCAAGACTCCGTCTCAGGAAAAAAAAA